GATTTTGTAAGTTTAAGTAGGGACCGTTTGAGTTTTATTTGTTAACTAGAATTATAGTATTGTCTTTGTAACACAAACATGTTTTGTAATTGTTTTAGTCACTTAAGAGTGTTTTTGTCTTTTTACAGCAAATGAGTCATTTTGGGATTCTTGTCATTTGTAAAAGTCAAAGTGAAATTATGGGGTTTTGACTAGGTCATTTTTACAAGAACCCCGCATTTTACTATAACCTGTTGAGGAGCTTAACCTACGAACTTCGTTTAGGCCCTGTTTGTTATTTCTTAATTTTTTTGGAACTCTAATGAACAGTATTTTAATAACAACAGAGAGAGAGAGATGGAGAGCCTATGACAACCATTTTGGGAAATGTGTGTTTTGTAACGGGCCCTCTTGCAAATCATAGAGCACCGTTGTTATCATTTTAAATAATGTTATTTATCATTATCATAATGAAATATCAGTGATATGATAATTTATGTGAAATAATGAAATTAAACTTTTCAATTTTTATGAAAGATAGGATATAAATAGAAAGAGAAAGGCAATAGATAATAAATTGTCACATGATCAATATTTTATCATCACAATGATAAATATAATTACTATATCATTTTTGTGGGCCATAGCATGCAGCATAGATGATAATGTATGTTTTATTTTAACTAATCAATATTTTTCTCGTAATGTGGTAATACAAAATTGTAAATGTCATAAATAAAATTTTCACCTAAACAAATGTCACTTTTTTTTATTCTTAAAAATAGTAACTCGAAACGGTACCATTATCCCTTTCTTACACCAGTGTTTTACCTACCGACAATATTAGTTTCATTTCATAAAGTAGTATTATCACGTCACATTTTTTTGCCATACACGTTGACCTTATGAATTGATGTAGAATTTTGCAAATGTAGGGCTGTTAAATTAACAATCAGAATTACCACTTTTTTCAAATATTATTTTGTACATTCGTGACACAATATGATAGTTTTTAAATAACAATATCGTAGTTCGTACGCCATGTGATCACGCAGTTGTTTCCATGGCAAATCTTCCTCCAATGGTGCGTCCATTTCAACTGTTATTTCATCATGCTTGTCGGGGAGGTCTATCTCCACTTCCTTATCACTTTCATGTTCCGCTCTACGGAAGGCTTTGTCCACACTCTCGTTGCGCTTAAGAAAATTGTGCATCGCCATTGACTCAACAACAACATATGTTTGCACACGAAACAAGTAGCTTGGCATGTGATCAAGAATTTTCCATCGCTACTTCCATACTTCGAACGACCTCTCGATTACATTCTTACATGACAAGTGATAGAAATTGAAATGTTCTTGTGTATTGCGAAATCTTCACCGACTTCCTGTTAGCTCTGTAAAGAACTCCTGAAAATGATATCAGATATTTGAACCTTTGTGTAGAGCCATATATCCCGGTCCATCCGTAAATTCGAAGTCCACGAGATAGTGTTTCCCAGGAGTGGGTAGGAAAATTAATATCCGAATTATGTACCGCATTTGCCAAAATACTATCGTCGTGAGTATTTCATGTAGTCTCGGGAAGAACGAACATGAAGCATAGGTTGAAATCACATGCAACGAGCATGTTCTGTGTTGAAACCCCTTTTCGTTCTCTGAAATTCTCATGCTTGTGACACAGTAAGCCCTCACTTGCGTTCCTTCAATGGCTCCGATACAATCCTGATCATGTTAACCATATATGATAGTCTCCAATGTCTGAGGCAATACTATCATAATATAATTGCAAATTAAATTAATCTTTATTACATTTACCCAAAACAGTGGATATTCCACAGGGTCAGGTTGATGATGTTCGGCTCCTTCGTTGTAAATTCGGGTCGGGCTAAATGACAATTCCAACATATGCGATCACAGAGCAAAGCACCGTTTTGAAATAGTGGTTTATCGTCTGTCAAGAGTGGCCAAAAATTGTTTGCACATGTCTATATTCTTTCCCCCGTGCGCTAGGACACACAAAAACATTCTAACATGCTCATACACATCTATATTAGCACTCATTCGCAGACCATACTCATCACGAAGAATGTGCGTGAAATAAGTGAACATATGTGGGTACATCTAGAGGTGTCAAGACGGAAGGGCCGGCCAAACCCGTGAAAATCGGCTCGGATCGACTCGGGATTACGGGCCGACCTGTGACTTGAGTGGGCGGTTCACGAATCAAGGAGGTGTGACCCTCGCGGGCTTCGTGGGTTTCACCTTCACGGGCCGCAGTTAACCCGTTGGCCCATGAAAAAAAAAAATTAGAAACGTAATATTTCTTCGTCTACAAACTCTAGTATAACTTTTAAAAGCAAATCTTCTTTTTTCTCC